TCTCGAAATTAATTACGTTATATCATTTTTTGCACTCATAATCACTTGTTATTATCGTTTTTATATGCATGTGATTGTGGGCCGGTGGGCCGAATGTGCTTTGTGAGAATTTACCTAGAGGCTTGAAATAAGAGCTAATTAGCTGGGTAACTATCAGTGAGTAAGCATGTAAGTTTTCTACTAGAGAGATCGGTACGTTGATGTCGAATGCATTAGTAGAGTTACTTATTAGCGGGATCGGCGGCAGCCGAATGCACTAGTAAGTGACTGTTGTGACCATTTTTTTACGTTTTTTGTTGTTATTTTGTTCTTATTTTTTCCCCATTTTAGGTCTTTTAGTTGGTTTTTAGTTCGTTTTATAGTTTATTGTGTGTTTTGCTCTATCTTGGTTTTTTATGTATTTTTCGTGTATTTTGTCGGTTTTCTAAATTTTTCTTCTTGTTTTTAGTATGCAGGTCGGAATCCCCATGAGGAATTGATGTAGCTTGAAAATGGGCCGGGAAATAATGCTTGGATAGATGGGTTCGTTTATGATATATAGGAAAAGGCGGAAATCGATTTCGAGTTCGGACGAGTCTGGACCGGGCCGATATGCAAAGTCGTGCACGGAAGCCGCCAACTTCAAGTCAAAAGCTTTGGGTGAATATGTTTTCAAGAATAAGTTAGATTTGAAAACACAACTACGTAGAGGGATTCGTTGGCTACATGTAGGAAAAAACAGAACTCAATTCCGTGTTCGGACGAGCCCGAACGAGCCCAAAATGTGAAACGGAGCAAGCTGCCCAGCCAGGCGCGCGCCGCGCCCTCATCGCGCCGTGAAGAACCCCGCGAGACCGGTTCAGAGGTGCTGCATCCCACGCCGCGCCATGCCAGACCCCCACGCCGCGACCAGGCCACCCTTCACGGTGCGCCAGAGCCTCGCGCCGTGCAGCATCCATGCACCACGCCGCGGCACTTGGTCCCTCCACTCGGATTTTTCCCATAAATTCTTCCACTTTTCTCCATTAGAGGAAAATGAGGAGAATTTGGTTATAAAAGGGTGACAAGGTTTGAAGAGAAAACACATCTCCAACCGAGGGGTTCTCCCCTCTTCTCCTTTCTTTCCTTCTTTCTTCTTTCTTCTTTTCTTCTTCTTCATTTTTAGTTCATTTTCTTGGTTTTATTTGTGAGTGTATTTTGGAGATTAAACATTCCACAAGGATTCAATTTGGCTAGTAAGTTGATTTCGATTCTCGACTTGGATTAATATTAAGTTTTCTTCATTTGATTATGAACATTAAAGCTTGTGTTAAATCTTTTGTTGTTGATTTCATCATGAGTAGCTAAATTTATTAGCTAGGGTTAGGGGATAATTGCTCCGGTTTGTTTTCATTTACATACTTGTCGATTAATCAAATCTTAACAAGTTGTTCTTTTTCTTAGATTAGATGCCTAATCATCATGTTAATCTACTTAATCGATTTTGAGACCGAGAGGAGATAAGTCGGTCGAAATTAGCTTATTAAGAATAGGATCTCAAATCTTTACAAATTAGATTAAATTCCTAATCACCATGTTAATCTACTTAATTGATTTGAATCCGAGAAGATATTAGTCGGTCGAACTTGGCTTGTTAAGACTAGGATAGTTCGAAAAAATTGCCTACATATTGATTGGTTCGATACTTGCTTATTTTCGTTATTCTCTTGTTACGAAAAGTTATTGAGAATAATCATGCAAATGAACAAGTCTTTCGACACTCTTATTCGAGTATTCGATGGTTAGATAAAAGAATTTAAACCGGAAGCAAATATCCCCGATACCCTAGCGTCACCATCATTATTGAAATCGTACTTCGAATTGTTAGTTTAAAATAACTTTGTTTTATATCTTCTTGTATTGTTTTTATAAGTTGCGATATTTGAATTGCTCTATTTAAGAATCATTAGTTGAGAATCAAAACCAACAAATTGAATTAGAGTGTGTAGGAATTTATTTTCCATTTTTGTGTTTTGGACACTAACTAGCAAACGAAGCTCCGAACCGTCTTCTTTTGAGAGACGACCCGAGACCAGATAACTCGGTTACCAAATTATCCCACCACAAAATACTGCACAAAAGTGACCATACCAACGTTCATGAACTTAGGTTAACGGCGTATAATAGCTAATCTGCCAGGTAAATTATGGAGGCTTGAATAAGAGTCACTAGTCCGAATTAACTAGAGGCTTGAAGCCTGGATGATATCAGTCAGCGGTGAAACATTAAGCTTTACATGTTCATATAATTGTTATCCTATCTGTGCTTATATCGAATCGATGCATATTATGGTTCCTTCTCTGGGTAAGTGGAATGCTCACCCCTTTTTGTTTCCACACTTCAGGTTGATCGAGTTGGTGCCGGACGCGATGGCGATGGTGGTCGTTTATCTATGGTATTAAATTATTTACGAACTTTGAGACAAGTTTTATGTTTTATAATTCCGCTAAATGTTTATGAAAACCTTTATTAGACGAATGTCTTTGACACTGTTATATTTTTCAAATTGTTTAAATGTAATTTAAAATTTAATTATGCTTTGTTTGTTTGAAAGGAAAGAGCTTTCTAGTAATGTCCGAATAATAGTTTTAGAAAACCTTCTCCAAATAGATTCAAATTATTTATGAAAAATCTTGTTCTTTCTTAAATAAATAATCGTGCGTTACAATCTACCTGTACGAAAAAGCTTCATAGGGTCATGTGCGACATTAAATGCATGTCATTTATATTTAATACATAATTGTATTGCTCGAGGAGCAGTAATCGAGCCATATTTATTATAAATAGTCACAGGATTCCATTGAGAAGGGGTTTAGAAAAATTCCTGTAACAAAGACATACTACATCTTATTCTTTTTAAATGTCATTTTGGTTTTATCAACTATTAACCAAAATAAATGTCGTTTTGGATCTTTTGTACATATTTTTCTATTAGTACCCTCATTTAGTTAATAAATACACTACGTCTTTTCATATTCTCTTCATCCTTTTTTAGAAAACATTCATCTCTATCTTCATTAATGAGGGTTATTATTGGCAAAAAAATTATTCTTAATCAGTGTGCAACTTCCCAAAACGACACTTATTATGAATAGGAGGGAGTATATTCCTTTATTAAATGCCGTAAAACGAACATCCAAGCTCATTCGCCAGATATCCGACCTCTTTTTTTATTGATTTTTACGCAAGTTCATCATTAAATACCAAATTTTAATAGCTTCATTAATTCGTAGTCCACACTACATCAGTGCTTTGGGTTGATCAAATTTCTTTGATCAACAATCCCAAACAGCTCGAGAAGAAGACACTGAGGTCGGACATATTCCATTGAGTGCCAAATTGAATAACCTCGTAAAGCGCATTCAAGCTATGGAGGATAAAATCTATAATCCGTCTCTTGAGCTTGTTGCCTAAAGTGTCAATTTCATGTACAAGGGTGAGCTCGGAGAGGAAACCTTGGGGTATAGCTAAAAATTTAGTCTTGTCCGTGCTCGTGTGATAGCCCAAGAAACCCAAGATGAGGAGATTGAGGTTAGATGTGCTCGATTGAATTTGCAATTTGAAAGCCTAACTGGGCGCATTCCGTCCATAGACACAAATTAATAAGTCTATTTATCACTGATATCTCTAATACATAAGGGTGAACTTGAGGAACACAAAAATATGCTCCTACGTGACGGGAGTAATATCCTATTGGAGAAGACTTAAGCCGGGTTGAGAAGCCATTTAAAAAATTCTCCTTTCACTATAGGGTTGGAGAGCTATTGGATTGAGACATCCTGGAGCCATCACCTTATACTGTTGAAATGACTGGGAGTAACTCGACATTCTCTATATACATGCTTATATTTCCTGAGGCCATGGCGCTCTAACGCATAAGGTTTTAGCGTTCTTTGGTGATTGTTGATGCCCGCGCTCGTTTCTACATGATTATAACCACCCGAGCCCACTGTGCTCTCCTTCATTTCATGCTCCATATGGTTCCACTTATAGAGAATACGAAGACAAGGCACGGTCGCCACTTCTTTTTGAATCCTGGTTGATTTTGACATTTTTGGTACGTCAAGCTAATGACATTAAACAAACCTTCTTGGGAGGCAACCCGAATTCATTTTTACTTCTTAGTTTCTTTTCTTTTATACTTTTTAGATTTTACTTTTAAATATATTGTGGTTTTGGTGTCTTGTTTAACTATGTTGATATATGCATGAGCTCAATTTGGGTGTGGCAGTCGAGAATTACATCATCTATATTTTGAAGGTCCGAGCGTGTGCAGATGACTCACTTTAGCCTGCTCCATCACTTTCGCGGTTGCATTATGAAGTATGAACGTCCACGTTTTATTCTGAATTTACATTTTCCTACCTTATACTTGTTTTATGCGATTTTCTTATTTTATTTTTATTTTTGTGATTTTTCTTTTAAGTCTTGTGTTCTTATGTTTTGCCCAGTACTTGTTCATTATATAAAAGTGGTTTGGCTTTCTATCAGCGTTTGGGTAGCCAACGAGTTTCTTATGCAATTTGTTTTAGGATAACACTCCCCAAATTGGTCTTCCATTATCATTACTGCCTTATCACTTCACCATGGATATATTACAAACCTCCGTACATATCCATCTTTCATATCTCACTTTACATACTACAAACTACTTAAACAAGAACCTAACCGAGCCAGCAACCTTCATGTAGTTCACAAATAAAAACACGCTTTCACATTGGCTAGTGGCTACTGTGCATTATCTGTTACACCCTCAACATATACAAGCACCATCACAAGATTTAGTGTCTTCACATTTTCAAGTTCTTGAATTATATGTACTGATGCTTGTGCATTAGCTATCCCACAATCATTCAAGACTTGCTACCTCAACGGATGAGTTGTGTATATGCTACAACCAGAAACTCGACACTCAGACCATGTAATGCACCATTGAACACGACCAAAGCAAACTTGCACTTAACCAAACCCGACCTCTTTGTTCAACCTCCAAACATTTACGATTCAAAGATTTCCGCATAAATAATATCAATCCAACAGACTTAACATTCAGCCTAACAACTAAATAAAACAAGACAAATGCCAATATGCCAACAACTGGAAACAACCAAGGTGTGAATTAAAATCACTTGTCACATGCAATAAGAGCACCCATCAGTCAGACAAATTATAATAAATCCATATTCACATAAATTTAAATCGGGAAAAAATAAACAAACTGAGACAACACCTCTTAACAACCTGTACACAAGAACTAAACCAAAGTGAAAGGCGTGCCGTCTACACACTCCACTTCTTACAAACAAATTGGGCCAAGGACCATTCTACAATGGAATACTGTTGTGCATTAGAATACTCCTCAGCCCAAATCCATCACATGTTTTGGTTTATTTGCACTTTCACATTGCGAATAAAGAAGATATAAAAGTTGAGAGCACACAATAGCATTTTGTCACCTTTGTATCATCAAAACTCCTCCAGATTAATGCATGCTGTACAGCCATCCTTCAGAAACCACACATCATTTAAATGGCCCTTTGGTAGGGCATAAAAATTTTGAAAATGAGTTCTCAAGCTGTTCCACACGTCCTTTGTCCTACGTACACAAAAAATTTCACCATAAGTCCAGCTCAATCCAAATTTCGCCCAGAAAAGGCCTAATGGCTAATGAGCAACATTGTTATAATAATAATAATAATAATAATAATAATAATAATAATAAAGAAAATGAAAAGAATAGGACGATTACATTATTTTCCATTCTCCGGTTACCTAAAACCTAACATTCGCGTAAGCAAAAGACACCACCAGGCCCCAACTGAGTAGAGTGCTCACTAGGCAACAGCTCAAACAAAAGAAACATGGCTTATTTTCCTTGAATAAGCACAACCATCAGCTTCCTCCTCGTCTGAAGTGACTGGGGAATCAGTAGCCTCAGCAAGAGACTCGAGCATTGCTACAACTTCAGATGAATCATCCAGATAATACTTGGCTTTGCTCGGTTTTTGACCCACCGTGCAGGCAAATACTTCAGTGTTGTAAGAAAGGATGTGCCTAGACACTGCACTACTAATCAGCTCAAACATGTCCTCATCCGATCTGTCGTCACCTACACAGAGGACAAAATCAGCCTGCTTTCCCTTCTCTGTCATTGAGGTAAAAACTTTTTCTGCAACTATGCCTTTGGTAACACCCTGCATCAGAATGTATAATGTTTTGTATTATTCATCTATAATTTTTTTTAATTGAAAAATCAAATAGAATAACTACGATATGCAAAAGGTTAATGAATATTTATTTACAACTGAAAAGTGGGAAGTAATTCTGAGAATGAGGGCAGAAAATTAAAACCGAATAGCACATGCCTGAGGCTTGACTTCTACAATAAACTGCCCGCTCTTTACAGCAACAGGCTCGTTTGCTAAAACACTCTCCAAATGATCCAACATTTCCTTTGCCTGAGAAAAACCGAACCCTGGGTCTGCATCATTATAATGCCACACTAATGCACTTTCCTTCCTCTCAATTCCTGAACCATCAGTAGCCTCAGTGTATGATTTCATGACAGGTTCTGCCATCTGCATCCAACCAAATTCAGAACTCTGTCCATATGTTTCCCATTCTTCATGCTGTGGCCACCTGTACAAGTTATATCCATACTGTAAGATTGTTATGAAACTCAAAAATGAAACATGTTCATGATGCCAAGCATCAGGGGTATCTGGCATATGCCTTACCAGGGGCTGTTTCTAAAAGTTACAATAGCTAGTAACAATCACATCACTTGCATGCTACTAACTGAATTTGAAACTATAATAACCACCAGCCATTGTTCCATTTTTCTTCATCTAAAATTCTAAATCTACTGAAACTAGCATGTTTTTTTTTTCTTGATGAAAGAAATGCCATCTGAAAAGGTAACTTCATAAACAATAAGTTCCCACATATATGCATATACACACACATACACATCAGTAATAACTTCTAAGTAACAAGATAAAGCAGTTGAATCTCTGAAGATATTTACTACAGTTAATGGCTCAGGTGAATGTTCATACCAACAGTGACAAAAGTCAGGAGAAACCAGTTATAAAGGTTTACCTTGCAACTGCAAAACAAGCTAAAGTGAACAACACAGACAACATTGAAATCATCTTGACAAAAGCATCTATGTTCCCTCAATTCTCGTGGAGAGCAAAGTATCAAATAACACAGAACTGTGTGATATTTCTCATAGTAAGTAACTAGCTATTTGCTCACGAACTACAATATTTCCCAAATTTTGTAAAATTAAAAAATAAACTTTTCAAGTTAGAATAGTTCTCAAAGCAAAAATAAAATTATTTAAAAGTTGCATACCTTAAAAAGTAACCATGTTCAGCAGCAAGGCCCAAGTTCTTACAAGGAAGAAACCAACTGTTTAAGCTATCCCTCCCTCTTCCACTCACCATAAAAACTATATTTTTGGGATCCCCACATAGACGATTCAAGAGAGACAGAACTTGAGGACCTGGGGTCTTAACAATTTGATTCTGAGGCATCAAAGTGCCATCATAATCCAACAGAATAGCCCTGCTCTTGGACCTACAGTAAGCCGCCACAATATCATCTATGGATAGCTTTCTAAAATTAGGATCGAGAGCCACAACACGAAATCCAAAGCCCAGACCAATGCCCCAGCACCTTTTCCTGAAATGATCGGCACACGTTCTCTCCATATCCTGTAGGAAGCTTCTAGACCAAAAGGCTACATCATGCGTGCTCACGTAACGGTAGTGCTTCTCATGTCGCAGCTCCTTCTCTGACTCGGCCATCGATATCGACTCATTCATAGCCTCAGCAGTCGATTCCACATTCCAAGGGTTAACACGAATTGCGCCACTCAGGGAAGGAGAGCACCCAATGAATTCAGACACAACTAGCATGCTCTTCTTGGGCCCAACCAAACTCAACCCTGTATTGGCACCAGATACACCTTCTCTGCATATGATGTACTCATAAGGAGTCAGATTCATCCCGTCCCTAACTGCTGTCACCACAACACACTCAGCAATCGTGTAATAAGCCATTCTCTCACTGATTGATATAGGACGGTGGATAAAAACTATAGGCTCATACCCAGATCGCCCGAATTCTTTATTAACTCTCTTGCACGTCTCCTCTATTTCAGCCAGTATTTCCTCCAATTCTATCCCTTCCCCTCTAGAAGGATTAGCAATTTGCACCAGCACAGCCCTTCCCTGCCAATTAGGGTGCTGCCTGAGCATGTTCTCGAAAGCTAAGAGTTTCAAGTTGATGCCTTTGAATATGTCCATATCGTCAACTCCAAGTAACACCATCTTACCTTCAAACTGCCTGTTAAGCTCATCAACCTTCAGCTCTTTATCTGCTTGCCTAATCACAGATTCGATATGTCCCATATGTATCCCAACAGGCATTATCTTTATCCCCACTGTCCTCCCATAATATTCCAGCCCAATGTATCCCCTTTTTGACTGATACTCTAAGCCCAACATTCGACTGCAGCAGGAAAGGAAGTGTCGTGCATAATCAAAGGTGTGGAAACCAATGAGGTCAGAATTGAGCAGGGCTTTGAGAATTTCTTCTCTGACAGGAAGTGATCTGTAAATCTCAGAGGAAGGGAATGGACTGTGGAGGAAAAATCCCATCCTCAACCGAACAAAACGTCTCCTCAGAATCGTGGGCAAAACCATCAGATGATAGTCATGAATCCAAACAAAATCGTCCTCAGGATTAAGCACCTCAATTACTTTCTGCGAGAACATCTTATTGGCAGACACATAGGCTTCCCACATGGACCGGTCAAATCTACCTCCATGATCAACCGAAAATGGCAACATGTAATGAAAAAGTGGCCACAACTGCTTCTTGCAAAACCCATGATAATATTTTTCCAAAAGATTAGGCGGCAAGAAAGCAGGGACACATTTAAATTTCTCAAGTAGATAATTGGCCACATCATCCTGTTCAATAGGATCGACATCAACAGGTAGTGACCCAACATAAAGAACTTCCATGTCCTCCGGTAAGCCGTCCTTAACCCGTAAAAGTAAAGAATCCTCATTCCAACTAAAACTCCAACCTTTATTGTCCGGCCTTCGTTTTGCTTTCAAAGGCAGAAGGTTTGCAACAATGATCATTCGGTCACCTGCTACTGAAGATGGGTTCTCGGATGTAACACTGTTAGCTTGCTCATCATCAAGCTCAACAATATTTCCAGGGACTGTCATTATCCTGGGGAAACGTTTGCGCTCCTTCTCCCGACCCATTACGGGGAAATTCCCAGATGCTAAATCTAATAGATTAGTATAAGATCTCGACATCATCTTCACAGATTTCTAGCTGTATCTCTCCTCAAAGAAAAAGGTACACCCTACAAAAAAACCTAAGGAACTCAAATACCAGTTTTTTTTTTTTCAACAATCAATTTCGAATAACCTGCCAAAACACAAAAAAAGATACACAATTTATTGTAAAACACTGAAAAAGAAACGAAAATCTGAGTAGCAGATATCAATCCAAGAATCAAATCCCTAGTTTGAATAAACAGAAATGTCTTGAGAACAAGAGAGATGAATGAAATCGAAATAAATCGAACAGAAAATAACGGATAGAGACTTCACTAGCCTCTGATCTAAGCCAGAACTATAAAATCAGATTTTCCAAAGAACCAAAACATTAAATCCTATTGGAATCCTATTTTTCATGAAACCCCAATCGAACGCGCTTACCAAAAGAGATAAATGAAAACTGGATGGAAGCCGGACTCTGCGATTAAATTGAGCTATTTTTCGTTTCCTGTCAAAACTTCAGCCAAGCATTGAGAAAGTGATTCAAGGGTTTGACGCCATAAAAGAAAGGAAATGATTGAACTAGGGTTTCATTGTAAATATAATGAATCGACGATCGCCATTCACCGGCAAACAAGTAATGGATATGAGTATCCAAGAAATAAATAATTTAATAATAATGCTGGTAATTTAATTTAATAATAATGCTGGGAAAGAAAACGTGCCAACAAAGAAAATATCGCTAAATCCATGGTTCCCGACTAACGACCAACAGACCAAGCCCAATGCATGCGACTCGAGTGCTTTAAATTGTTCAGAAAACTAGCCAGTCTTGCATAGTCAGTCCAATTTAGATTTTACAACATTCCTTAACCAACTTTATCCAGTGTTTACTAATATGGATTGAGATTGAGATAAATTCTACGTGTTATATACGTCTATACTCATGACTAACAAGATAATTCTATCACATTTTTAGGATAGGATATTTTTATCCCAATATAAAAATGACATTTTTGTCCAAAAAATCATATGTATAACGTCAATTATACCCTTAAATGTCCAAATACTTACTGATTTAATAAAGCTAACTCATGGGACAAAAATTGACTCATGGGATTAAATTATCCTACCCCATCATATATCATCTCTTCAAGTAATTGAGGCCAAATGGGTTAATTGGAGATAAATCTCCAATCCCTTTTTATTTTTATGTTCAGTCATTCCTTCTTCTTTTTTACACTGCACTTCCTACCAAAACCCTCGCTTTCCTAACCCATCATATATCATCTCTTCAAGTAATTGAGGCCAAATGGGTTAATTGGAGATAAATCTCCAACCCCCTTTTTATTTTTAGGGAAAATTACATTTTGCCTACCTAACTATCCGAAAATTTACACATTGCCTACAAAACTTTTTTTTTATACACTTTGCCTACCTAACTTTGATTTTTTGCTACACTTTGCCATTTCCGGTCACCGCCGGCCTCATAAACCAATACGTGGCTCTTGTGCCTTATTGACACGTGTGGCCGGCGGTGACCAAAAATGGCAAAGTGTACAAAAAATCAAAGTTAGGTAGGCAAAGTGTAAAAAAAAAATATTTTGTAGGTAAAGTGTAAAATTCCGGATAGTTAGGTAGACAAAATGTAATTTTCCCTTATTTTTATGTTCAGTCGTTCCTTCTTCGTTTTTCCACTGCACTCCCTACCAAAACCCTCGCTTTCCTATACAGTCCCTATATATACTAATTTTATTATTAATCATTTATTTTATCAGAAAATCATACAAAATTGAAAAACTTTTTCTATGAACAATATCCTCTTTCTGAACGATCGTTCATCGCCGAATTCAAAAAATTTCCGACCAAACCCCCGTCGGCCCTCAACCTCCACAGTCCGTCGTGGGTCATCATCTCCGACCAAACTCCTGTAGGCCCGTCAAACACCAATGGCGGGCTCCAAAAAAAAAAAAATCTCCATCCGACTTTCCGTCTTCCTCGGCATCCAAGACAACTAATAAGTTAAGTTTTTAGAATTCGAATTTTAGGACTTTTTTTTTTCAAATTTTGATTTTGCTCTTGAATTCAAAATTTTTCAGAATTTTCTAGATTTGGTTATCTATATGGTGCTAATGAACTTCAAATTTGACTTATATTTCACCAATTAAGAACTTTATGGATAAACTAATTCTCTTTGCATGATCTTGTTGGATTTAATTAGGAACGTCGTCAATGTGCACATTCAAATCTATTGAATAATAAATCCTAACGCAGGGGAATCTATAGTTAGATTTAGGACTTACGGTTTTAAAATTTTTGCCGACTCTAAGACGTTTCTGATTTCCTTTGATGGAGATCGTCTGAAATCCAGAGTCCGATGGGCTGCCAGACCTGACCTTTCTCGATTCTAATCGAGTAGTGGGGTGCTCCAGTTGCTCGTCGGGCTCGTCGGATCATCTCGGACCTTCGGTGTGTGAACTGGAGTCCTCGGACCGCTCAGAAATCATCTTGCACGAACTGGGCTAACTGGGTCGGTTTTGGTCTGGGCCGAACTGGACTGGTTCGGGCCGGGTCTGGTCACTGGCCGCGGGCTGCTCGCGCACAGGGCGTGGCATGGCACAGACAGGCTGTTGGGCGCTGGCACGGGTGGCAGTTACGCGGGCA